CCACCCCCAAAGCGGCAACAAGACAGTGAGTCTGCGTGCCCCCCCCAAAAAAAAAATCTGGTAGAATGATATGCATGTAATATATGCATTGACCTCAACCACAAGCGTACAAATTCCGGGCAGCTTCTTGAACAGAAACCTGATCAGTTCAGATTTTGTGATGAATGGAATTAAGTGCAAACAATGCTCCATATGCAGTCTCACTGCACTGGGAGCTGAAGGTTCTACATATATATGGCTCTAGTTACTGCTGGAGTACTTGCTTCTTCATATCTTGAATTGGGAGCAGTCTCATTGTGACTAGTATATATATATATACGAAAGAAAACATCTGGCCAGGTGTTGACAAGTAAGCAAAACTATAGGTTCAGGTTGTTGTCTTTTGGGGGGCTACAAGTATGATTTTGCACAACAAACAAACAACTATAGAAATAGAGTGCACAGGCTTGAGGAAATTACATGCCAAAAATATATAGGTTCTGCACAAGAAGGCTAGTTGCAGGAGGGCTTCTTAAATCGACAACTAAAACAACTGGTCCTTCCTCACAACACCTTTTCCAAAATCTAATAAAATCCCACGTTGAGGCTTTGAACGTAGCTCACATCAGGAGTGAATCTATGGATTAAACGATGTGAAACATCTGTTGGCCCAACCATTCCAACGACTCTGACGGGAAAAACCTCACACAATTCTCAGATCCGAACATCTGTGTGAGAACTCAGTGGGAACTGGCATCCGCGCTGTCTGTCTGGGAAGTCCACAGTCCACCGATGTTGGAACGACATCACCGACCTGCCTGGAAGAAGCCGAAACACACCGGTACCGTGAGAAAAACCCACCGTGGGATACCTACCGAATCGAAAAGCACAGCGACGACCTGTTGTAATGATTTGAGTCATCATATTGGGTGACGGAGGGCCTGGGGCACGCATGGGACCCAAGTGATTGCAGGTTCCATCATATCATCATATCAAAGCCCTGATCTAATAATTTCCATGAGGTTCTGCGTTTTCCTGGAAAAAGAAGCGCATTCAAGGTAGGGTGGCTTAATTATGTTGAGGTTCTTGGGCTAATTCAAATTATGTCCAGGGCACCAACGTATCAGAAGTACTTACCCCTTTCTATAGAAACTATATGAAACGTTTTGAAACATGTTGCTTGCTGCGGGCTACGGGATACCCTTGAATCCTTTGCTAATATTTGCTAATGATTGCTGACATGTCCATCCGAAGCCTGGTCCGAACGCACGGCATTGTCCGCCAAAAACAGCCCCAGACATCAGCAGATGTAAACATCGCTGACGCCAGTTCCCAGAGAAAAAAAGACTCGTTTGTTGCTTCCTTTTTGCCTGGTGCCAGCATGTTCTTCCACATGGTTCCATCATGTTCCAACCCCCCCCCCCACGAAATGGAACGAAAATGCATGGTCTCACACCCGATCCACGGCGGAGAAGTCCATGGGGAGAAGTAATTCCAGTGTCGCGCTTGGATTCCGCCCAGCGTCATGTGCTGGACGAGTGAACTGATGAGCTGCTGCAGCTTTTGAAGAGCAAACTCCCTCCGCAAGCTAGTGATGAATGTCTGAATACGTCCGGTCAAAAAATCTAATGAACTTCTTTATAGCACTCGTTCATCCTTCCGCACTGGTCATGTCGGTTGTACATGTTTGGTCACACTTTCAACGTGCAGCTGGCACCGGACCTGGCAGCTGCTGGCGCCTGTCCAGCAACTGTGTAAAACATCTCAGCCCTGAGCGTTGCGTCTCGCCCTGTCTGACACTGACCCAGGGGGCCTGTCGCCCAGTCGGTGTTTGTTGGGCCCGGTGTTCTTCGATGAAGACCAATCCCGTATGTTTTCGGCGCAGGAAGTTCCTGGTGAAAGTGATGGCCAAATGCGTCCTGTAGCTCAACTTTTGGGCCACACACTTGCGTACACATGTGTTATGTTTTGATCGATCAGGCCATGATCAAACTCAACCCCAAAGTCAAAACCATTCAAAACCTGTTTCTGCCTCATGCGTCGGTTGAACATGACAAACATACCCACCTGTCGTCGTTTTTGGAGGTGGGAACTTCGTTTTTCCCTGTCAGGAAAAAGCCCTGTCAGGGTCATATTGGTGGCCTGTCATCGTCCGTGTTTCTCTCCAAAGACCCCGGTTGTAGAAAATCTCAGGTTTATGAAGGTAGTTGATCTGTTTGGTTTCTTTACTTATGTGGTCGTCTGAGTCTATGAAGTTTCTATGCAGGTGGTTTGATCTGGACCTCTTGATGGTCTATGACTATGAGGTGAGGTGGTTTCTATCCTGTAGGTTTCTGTTTGAGTTCTGTTTAAGGCCGAAGTCTTGTGAGTGAAATACTGTGAACCTGGGCCGGCTGAGGCCCAGTGCTTTACCTGGCGCTGAGAGCCACTTGGTGGCCCACACGCGCCGGATCTTAAAACATCGGAAGAAGCGATGAGAACCAACTCGATCCGTTGCACTGAGGACAACCAAAGGGTACCGGAGCAAGTGATGCGAAGACAACATCTGCATCCCCAAAGCCCAGTCTTGAAAAAAAGCCCAGTGCACACATGACCAACAAACAATGGGTGAACGATCAGGTTCCCAATTTGACCAAGTCCTATGTCGTGACCTTGAAGAATTACAGGTGGTTCCTGGCTGGGCACCCCCCTTCAAACAAGCGGTTGGGAGACCAGTCCAGGGGCAAGTGATGTGACACACACAAGCCCATCAAGCTGAAAGTATTACCAACAAGCCTCACAGCGACCATTCTCTTTTGGTCAAGCTCACAATATAACATGTGCCTGCTCCCAGGTACCTATAATAGAAAAGCACTAATAAGAGTGTGCGCATGCCCGATACCCCTGTGTTGCGGATGTTGGTGTGGCTCACAGACCTAGATCAAGATAAGTTGAGCTACCGACCCCCAAAAAAGCAACCATGAGGTTGCAGGCATGGATTGTTATGACATTTGAATATGTTTGATATCATCACGGATTGCATCTTGTGTATTGCTGGCATCTTTAATCACAAACAATAAACAACTCCAGTTGTGTTTTACGTATTTGGGGGACCTGGCAAAATGGAAACCTTGAAAAGAGATGCAAAAACCGCAAAGTTGCCTACAGTAGTTATGTTCTATTGAAATCCTCGACATTGACATGTGCGTGGAACTCAAGACCTGAGGTCTCACATAGTCTGAGTTATGTCGAAGAAGGGAGCATATGGGAAGTAAGTTGAAGTAAGTTCCCACTTCCTTCTCCAAAAACGCCTCAAAAAGCGGCACCGCTTCCTCTCAAAGGTGATGGCACCACCTGTCTCAGACCACGCACGGCAGTTGGGTCGCTGGTCTTGGCGCGTGGGCGCCAGCACCACGCGGGAACCGGGTGGTGATTGGGCTTCGGGGGGTCCAAAGAGGAGGGCGATTCCAGTTCGGCGGTGCTGGTGCTTTTCTTCGGCGAACCCGGACTGGGCACTTGAGAACCGGCGAGGTCAGACCTCGCAATGGCTGTGGCAATACAGGGGGGCTGAGGATGAGGGTAGTACTTAGTACAGTCAGCAAAGTCTGTGGATGTAAATTTGTTCCAAGAATTGGCAAGCTAAGGCTGTGTTGAGGGTTGGAAGGCCCAAACACCTTCTGCACTTGGAGCCCTATATATCTATATAGATGCTATGTCAATTCTGAAGAGGTCAAGACGTGACCGCATCGTTGGACAATTGTTGATCGACCATCACTCCCGGCACCGGCACCTACTCCAAGGACCGGGTGTAGGCCGTGAGGGTCCCCAAACGGCTGTGCCAAGCGCATTCGCCTGATCATTGGAAAAAACACCTGCTCAAAGATCTCGATACCAAGAATGTCCAACAATACTTTGGACGAAAACGCACCCCCCCAATGATACCATTAATACCTCACATATCCTCACATCATCTACCTCACATCGTTTAATCCCAAAACGGAAGAATCAAATAGACACTCACACACAAACACCACCACAACAACAACAACAACAAAACAGCAACAACAACAACAACACACACACGCGCGGACCGTTCTCCAGCGCCTCGTTACTTCGTGACGCTGTCCTCGCTACCGGCCGCACTCTGCAGTGAGGCGGCTCACGAGGAGGTGAAGTTGCAACTCATCGCGGCACTTCTGCGCCATGAGATCCGCGTTGCCCTCGAGCCGAGGAATTCCCTCGACGCACGACGTCTGGAATTCCTAAAGCCGAGATTTGAAGATCGGTCAGGGGTTCCAATCTGAAGTGGAGTCAGGAGAGGAGTGCCCCCCTGCACTCCCAGAGTTCCCATTGAGCTTCTTGGGTGTTGATCAATTTGTGGCCTTCAGTTTCCAAACATCGGGTTGAGGATCTCCAAGTTCAAGCCATCGGGACCTGGCCGGATGGGTGAGGGCGTGAGTTGAAGCAAGCAGGAGTTCTTGGAGCGGCGCACTCCTGAATCCACTTCTTCGCCACCGCTCCGCTCAAGACTTCACCGCCAACCCGGCCTTCCCCCGCCCCCCAACCGAACCGGTGCTCCCAACCCGGTTCCGCCGCGGGCGCGCTCGCACCCCCGCGCTTCGATGCCGTTGACTGCAACGATGCGGTCGTGCTTCTGGACCTGCAGGTCCCGCTCGCGTGGCCGGTGGCCCGGTGGTGGCTGTCGTCCATCTATTTCATCATTTGTTTTAGTAGCGAACCTTGTTACGTCCGTAGCGATGCCAGGAGCCCCGAACAGCAATCTTTAATCCATCATATTAATAATCTCTGGTATCTCTTCTTTTCTTCATATGTTCATCATCATTAATCCTCACATACACATCATAATTATTAAATTAATATATAAAATAAGAAAGATATGGGTTATATTTTATGATAATTCAATAGAATTAGAATTAGGAGAAAAGCACATGTGTTTTAATGATATTGTCATCAACTCTTGTCATAATTAGAATAAGATTCATGTTAATAAGCTCTGGCAATGGTAAGGTTCTTTATGGTTTTTGTTTATTCCGAATTCCCTTCACTGTTCTTATTTCGTTTCAAACGGTCCATGTGAGCGTGGTCCTTTGGGCTGGGTGGGTAGCTTTCGATGGAAGCCATCTGACCCTGCTTGGCATCCTCAAAATGACGTGGTTCCATCCTTCAAAACCAAAACGAAAGAATTGGTTGGTTAAGGATCTGTGGGCTCTTAAGAGGGGATATAGCCGATAATAGAAAGGGGAGGTTATAGTTGAACCCCCACCCCTTGGTTTGGCGCCACTCTTTTCAGAGGTCGGAAAGCTGGACTTGGTCCATTGGTGACTTTAGTTAGAACCTCAGCCCACGGGTACCTCCTTCAAGAACATTCAAGGACCATGCTTTCCAGCTGAAGCTTCCCTCTCTACAGCTAAGTGTTCATTCAAACCAAAAGCGCTACAATCACTCAAGAAACAAGCATGGAGCGCTCTCATATCCAACCCTTTTCTTGGTGTAATTCACAACTTGTCCAACTGCGCGCATGTTTGTCATTTAACGACGCATTTTGTGGGTTTCCACCTTTAACCCAAGAACACTTCATGACCAGTCCATTTCATCTAACGAATCAAACGCGACAATAGTCCCAAAAGTGTTCAACCCCTAGGATAGCCCAAAAAGAGGTGCTACAAATGAAATGAAAGTTCCCGGCATCTTTCAAAAGCAACTAGAGCCTCAACAACTATTGGCATTGAGCTACCGGGGCGAAGCCATGAAAGATGTTTGCCCAAATGGTCACCTATAGTGTGGCGGCAAAGAAACCAAGGTCGCCAAGGTAAAGGGCACACATTAAAGGGCACCATTGATGATCTGATGACTTGAGGTTTTTTCTCTTGTCTTCTCCACCTGCGCTGCTCCAGCGGCCCATCCATCCGGGACGACCGGGCCATCGCGTTCGCGGGGGCGCGGTCCCGGGGGCCCCCGCAGCGTTGGTGGGATTCCGTCGGTTCCACTCCAGCACCAAGCCTTCATGAACCTCGGAGTTCGAAGACCTGCTTGGGGTGCCATTCTCACATGCCGGCCTACATGACCAGTCTCACATTCCGTAACATACATATAGTATATATGATTACCAGCACGGCCCATAGCCTGGCAATCTTTGCAGGTTCAGACTTTTCGGCTTTCAAGTTGACCCACACAACAAATCCCACAAAACGCGTAAACTCCGCCGAAATGGGTACTCCATGTATAGGGCGTATAATATTGTTTTAGACCTTACTAAACCAACCGATGGACACTGAAAAATTACTTTACTTCGAGTGATCCCCACCATGACATTTCAATCATTTGTCTTGATGCCATAGTGAGGAGCATGTTGCCATAGTCGTCAGTATTGTAGTTCTCGATGTTGCTTGTGGGCCCTCGGGTTGTGTGCTGTGGTTGTGTGCTGTGTTGTGGTTGTGGTTGTGTTTGTGGTTGTGTGTTTGTGGTTGTGTGTTTGTGGTTGTGTTTGTGGATGTGTTTGTGGTTGTGCTTGTGGTAGTGGTAGTGGTTGTGATTATGTGTTTGTAGTTGTGGTTGTGGCTGTGTCTTTGTGATTATGTGTTTGTAGTTGTGGTTGTGGTTGTGTCTTTGTGATTGTGTGTTTGTACTTGTGGTTGTGGTTGTGTGTTTGTGGTTGTGTTTGTGTTTGTGGTTGTGTGTTTGTGGTTGTGTGTTTGTGTGTTTGTGGTTGTGTGTTTTTGGTTGTGTGTTTGTGGTTGTGTGTTTGTGTGTGTGTGTTTGTGGTTGTGTGTTGTGTGTATGTTTGTGGTTGTGTGTTTGTGATTGTGTCTTTGTAGTTGTGTTTGTAGTTGTGTGTTTGTGATTGTGTTTGTAGTTGCGTGTTTGTGATTGTATTTGTGATTGTGTTTGTGATTGTGTTTGTGATTGTGTGTTTGTGGGTGTGTGGTTGTGGTTGTGTGTTTGTGGTTTTGTGTTTGTAGTTGTGTGTTTGTGATTGTGTGTTTGTGGATTTTATCTGGCAAACTATCTGGTTGAGGTCCAGCGGTGCACACTGCGATCGGATCCTTGCGGTTGAGGTCCAGCGGTGCACACTGCGATC